CGACACGTTTCGTTTCGTACGTCCCTTTCCCTTACTATTTTTTTTTTTTGGTAACAGACCACTTCCCCCCCAATTCTCCCCTCCTCTCTGAATGCTTCTGCTCAGGCTCCTCTGTTGATTCATCTGTGACGCTTCCTCAGGGTTCTCTTCTCTCACTAGGAGCGTTCCTGCAGAAATTGCATCTGTCCGTAGCCTCAAGTCTCTCCCGTTCTTGCATCTTACACCCCTTACCTGGAGGCCAGTCTCCCTTGAAGCATCAGAAATACGCTCACCATGGCCACATCAACATCCATACCTGCTCAGCATCTCAAACCTTGACATGCCCTCAACTGGTACAGTGAAAAGGACAGTCTGGGCTCAAAGTCACCCCCCCCTTCCTAGTGACCTCAGGGGGAGCTGCCAAAGCCCCTGGAGGATCTGACTCATCATCTGAGGTCGAAGCCTGGTCACCAGCCTCACCAGCTGTGGAACAGGGCTGCACGATGCCTAGCACGGTGCCGGCACAAACTAGACACCTCCTTTCCTCCCTGGTCAACTCTGGGAACGGCTCTGCTGCATCACTGACCTCTCAGCCCCAAACCTGGGTCACCCTTGGCTCTTCCTTCTTCACCTTCTGTGATTATTTGCTCACCAAATCTTCAAGCTCAACTCATAAATATCCCTTGAGTTCATTCCCTACCTGTATTCCCTCTGCCACTGCCCAAACTCGGGCCCTTCGGACTGATCATTCTGTTCCAGATAATTACCTTCTGGAAATGCCTTTGGTGGAGTCCGCTGCCTTTTTATACCATATAGTCCAGATTCCATGCCCAGTTGTGCAGGGCATGTCCCAGGCTGGCTCATTCACCCTCCCAGAGACCCTCCTGCCACCACTGTCCCCTAGTATCCCTCCAGGCACTGTGCCTTTGCACAAGCTGTTGGAAATACCTGGAATGGGCCCACGTGCCCACCTCCTCCCTCGCCTTTGCCCCACTGCTTTTGCAGGTGTCAGCTAATGGTCCCCGCCTCTTCCCCTCTGTGGGCTGGGTACTCCCTCCATTGTGCCTCTGCAGCAGCCGTCACTGACCTCCGTTAGGACAGCACACTGCATGGCTGCCCCTGTGACCTTGGCCGAGTCTGTCCTTTCCCCAAGGGAAGGCACTGCCTCTGGCTCATGCTGGCGTCCCCAGCATCAGCACAGAGCCACATGTTAACCATAGCAGTGGGGTCTCTGGTTAGCTGGTGGGTTCCAGTGGTTTGGGAGACCCCAGTAAGAAACTAACACCCTGGGGTAGTTGTCAGTTTAAGAACATCCTCCTTTGATGGTGTTTTTGCCTGGTACCTTATGTGTGGGAAGCACTGAGCTTCACAAAGTTGCCCCCGCCTGCCTTGGGGAGCTTGGGCCGCAGGAGCATGAAATGTCCCTGTTGCGATGGTTGCCGGCCCCATCCCCCAGTCTCTGCTACCTTTTTTTTGTTCCCTCCGTTTGTAATCTTCTTGCTCATCTGCTTCTTGCCTGCTAACCAACCCTTTCTCTCTAGTTTAAACAAAAGAGAAAGATACGGTCTTTTTTTCCCTTCCCTCCCTCAAAACCATGGAGGTTTGTCAGGATCATAGGTCGCTGTGCTGAGGTGCAGGCTGGGTAGCAGCGTTGGAGGGATTGGCCAATAATGTGTCAAGAAGGAGTAGAAAGTGCTTTATTTATTGGCTTGGAAACAGATGCGCTGAGCTTTGCAAAATGTCTTCTGATGCCCACTGGAAGGAAGTCCAGGCGCTTGGGGGTCTCCCTGGGGGGAAGGAATGGTGCTGCTCTGAGTTCAGTGCATCCCCTGGCCTCTCTGCCTGCAGCCAGGGCACCCCTCCAGGAAGAGGCTTGTGTGGGTTATGGCCAGGAGAGGCCAGGCCCCAGGTGTGCCGATGCCCACGGTGTGCCCTCTCCTGCTCTTTGGGGGGCTGATAAAGCCAGGCCAGTCTATGGAGGTAGATTAGATCCTATAAGGCACCCGGATAAAGCAGTGTGTTCTCCAGAGGGCTGTAGGTCACCTATACCAGAATTCCTGAGTGCTTGTTAAAACTCGGCCTCTGGCCTAGGAACCTGGGGGAGGAGTGGCGATGCCGGGCAGTCAGCATTGTGACATCTCCAGGTGGTCTCGGAGCCCACATCTGCTGGATACCCGGGCTCTGCACTGCCTGTGGGTCAGCGGCACCACCAGGTGAGTGATGATGTCCGGCTGGAAAATCAGCCTGGAGTCTTCAGTGATGAAAGAGTAAAAAACAAGAACCTGGCACGCAACCCAATTTCTGCATTTTCAAGAAATATGAATATAAAATACAATCTGCTGTTAAATTAGCAACAAAAATTAACTGTGCAAGAATCTGTAACCTTTAGGAAATCTGTTTTGGCCTTGACACGATCAGAGATTTCTTTTTTTTCCCTCTATTTTTTAAATTGTGGCAAAAAATTTATGTAAAATGTACCATCTTAACCATTTTTAAGTGTACAGTTTAGTAGTGTTAGGTACATTCACATTGCTGTGCAGTCCATCTCCAGAACGCTTTTTTAGTTGCAAAACTATAACTCTTTACCCATTAAAGGACAAGTCCCCATTCCCCCTCCCCCAGCTCCTGGCATTCTGTCTCTGTGGATTTGGCCCCTCTACATGCCTCAT